TGCATTTGTGTGACTATCGACTAATTTTCTGTATGAACGAATGCGCTGTGTGAATGTCGTACGCTGTGTGAATGTCGTACGCTGTGTGAATGTCGTACGCTGTGTGAATTTCTCGGTCGATAAACCCGAGCGAAGTTTGTCGATCGCAGGCGAGACGTCGCCTGCGCCTGCCGTGCAACGCTGAGCGCTGCACGCAGACGAGCGTTGGAACACAACGCTGCAGGAAGTGGAAGAAAAAGAAGTGTCGGTGTATGAATCTTCCTTTATCTTAATCTTTATCCACTTTATCTTCACTGTAGAGTGAAGATTAAATGGATAAAGAGCGATCACACGGTATAGTCAGAAAAATAAGTGCGTCATGTTGTCCAAAATAGTGACACGATTAATTGCCCAGAGAGCTGACGTGGTGGTGACACATCATTTTGCCGAGCCGAACTGTGTCAGGATGACACATAGAAGCAAAAAGTGTATCACTATTCGGACAAGTCTCTCAATATGTTTTTTTTCCACTCACGTTAATTAAAAAATAATAGTAGTGAGTCAAGCTTGATTGAGTCTGTTATTTTACTCTAGGAACCAAACAAAAACTTAAGTTTTAAGTAAAGTCGAAAGAACAGGAAGCGAATTACGTAAATAAAAGCCATATTTTTAATGCTCCGACAGCTTAATGTGGCTACGCATCTTCACGCCGCGGGCGAGCATAGAAAGCCTATAAGGAAAGAAAGAAAGAAAGAAAGAAAGAAAGATGCTCGTAAAATTATTGGGCAACTTTCTCCTCCCCTGCAGCCACGTAGAGCGGTCTGTTGATACTGGCATTTTGTGTAGACAGTTTGTGAAGAGTTTGTGCAGACAGTTTATGTAGACATTTGGTGTAGAGAGTTTGTTCAGACAGTTCGTGCAGACAGTTTGTGGAGACAGTTTGAGCAGAAAGTTTGTGCAGAGAGTTTGTGCAGACAGTTTGTGCAGACAGTTGGTGTAGAGTTTGTGCAGACAGTTTGTGTAGACAGTTTGTGCAGACAGTTTGTGCNAGACAGTTTGTGAAGAGTTTGTGCAGACAGTTTGTGAAGAGTTTGTGCAGACAGTTTGTGCAGACAGTTTGTGAAGAGTTTGTGCAGACAGTTTGTGCAGAGAGTTTGTGCAGACAGTTTATTCCGGTGAATTAGTTTATATAATGAAGACAATCTGACAATCATTCATTATAACTTATAAATAAATTAAACATTGGGCGTGAATGACACCTATGAGGATGGCTTTAAAAGTTCCATAAAGCGGGTTTATTTTAAACTGTTTTAAGACAAATTAGACTAGTTTTTAAAAGTCAAATAAAACTGGGTTTTCAAAAAATTAGTGACTCGATCTTAGCGAAAAGAAGTAACGCTAACTGAAAAAAATATAACTCAGTACTCACTGCAGTGAGTGAAAGAGAGCGCATTTTCTCGTCGACGAAAACTTGAGGTCTAGGACAGACGGACGGACAGACAGACAGACAGACAGACAGACAGACAGACGGACGGACATGGCGAGCACAATAGTGCATTTTTTTCCATAAATGAGAAAATGCGCTAAAAAGAAAGGGACTCGGATGCCCTGCGCGCCAATGTTTCGAAAATCTTTCCCCGCATAGCAAGCGGCCACAGGAATGTTGTTGTCAGACATCAATGAAAAAAATTGCGATGGAAGGATTGCTGCCTCCTGTCCTGTCTATTGTTTATTCCATTAGTCGTATAGCAATGGAATTAGTTCTTTAATTGGTCCCTGTATTTAATCAATGTTGCAGATTTATTTTTCGAACTAACATATTAGTTCTACAGTTCGCTGTAAAAGCATATATTTTGCTTGTTGAAAAAAATAACATAATGAAATATTACGAAGTTTTATATTCACAAAAGCAACGATAAACATAACTAAATTAAGAAAATTAAATAATTAACTAAATTAAATTAAGAATGTCGGGGTGAATGACCATCAAATTTATTGAATCGGAAAAAATTCATGTCTGTGAATAATTTTGTCCAAAGCGCGATGCACTTGTAGTCAGTGTGTGGGTTATCTTAATCCAATTTAACCTCGCAAAAGGACATACCAGTGCTACATCTACTGGTGCAGGGGAAAAGAGAATGCATCCCTAATTGCACCAAAAGACACATTCATTTGTCTGTGTGTAGAGAGGAAGAAGATGGGCGGATCCCTCATACTGCGTGCGCTGTGGCGTGAAGATCTTGCGCGTCACTATCATAATGATCAGCAGATCTGCACGTCACTATCATAATGATCAGCAGATCTGCAAGTCACTATCATAATGATCAGATGATCTGCACGACAGCAGATCTGCAAGTCACTATCATAATGATCAGTTGATCTGCACGTCACTATCATAATGATCAGCCGATCTGCACGTCACTATCATAATGATCAGCAGATCTGCACGTCACTATCATAATGATCAGCCGATCTGCACGTCACTATCATAATGATCAGCCGATCTGCACGTCACTATCATAATGATCAGCAGATCTGCACGTCACTATCATAATGATCAGCTGATCTGCATGTTGGGATGATCGCAAAATTCTAGCTGATAATGATCATAACGATCTCTTATCATAACGATCACTAACTTGATCATAACAATCTCTTATAACGATCACTAACTTGATCATAACAATCTCTTATAACGATCTCTTGATCATAACGATCTCTTGATCATAACGATCTCTTGGTCATAACGATCTCTTGATCACACCGATCTCTTGATCATAACGATCTCTTGATCATAACGAACTCTTGATCATAACGATCTCTTGATCATAACGATCTCTTGATCATAACGATCTCTTTATCATAACGATCTCTTATCATAACGATCTCTTGATCATAACGATCTCTTGATCATAACGATCTCTTGATCATAACGATCTGTTGCCTATATATATCCTCCTTCTCCAGCGATTTCAACCTTCAACAAAGTGACTTATTCGATGAATGATTGCGATTCATCAGTAAATTGTAATAGCCTTCATTAAATTGAAGAAAATTTGTCACTCACAAGTGTATGTGAAAGAAATGAGCAACAGCAGGGGCATCATAGAACAACAGGTGCTTCACCAGCTGTTCAACAGGATGTGGTAATGACTTGCCAGAACAGTCAATGAAAAATAGCGAGGAAAAGTACTACTATGTAATGCCCTAATTGTGAGAGGGAAAAGATACAATTTCAGAGATTTCTAGTACTGTAATAAAAATATGAATGAAATATATTCTTACCCTTCCTTTGCTGCCAGGTCCCAAATCTTCCACCAATTTTGTAGATTTTCGGAAATTCAGTTACTCAAATTATACTGTCAAACGCAGGTCCATTCACGACTTGAGATTTTCGAGCAATTTTCTGTTAAATCAAGGTATGGTTTTTAATCTAGTTTTAATCTAGTTTAATTTATTCACCGGCAGTTTAATGATGGCTTACTTTTTATTTTTGCATGAATAAATTATGATGTTTATTATACAGATGTCACTTTTATCTATGTTAGATCAATTGATCTCACGAACTGTGATGCAAATATTTATTTAAGTAAGTATCTTTTAACACCGTACAAGCTTCAGAGTTTCAGTCATGGGTATAGCAAGCAGCAGCGACTACAACCTTCCTTCTCAAGAGCTGCAGCAGCACTGACGCCAGGACAGCTGTTCAGGCTCAAGCTGAAGACCGGTGCCTCAATAAATTTAGTAAATTAATCTAAAATCTAAAATTATGTCAATTCAATATTATTTTTCGAGTAAAGTTAAGATATCTTCTAGTATAGACGGGTCTATACCCCATTTGTTCTATTATGGAACAAAGATAATATAAGTAGATAAATTGAAGATAAGTGGCTCGAGTTGCCTGGTTAACAAATTTTTCGTCGTTGTAATTATCTCACACAAAATTTGTATCATCACCAATTATTAAACGCAATTTTTATCATAGGAACCTATTTCACAATCGAAGTCTACCTATTATTGATAATCTAATTTTTACAGCGGGATTGCATAATTCTATACCTCTGCTGTACTGCAGCAAACTAATCTTTTTAATTAACAGTTTCTTGCATAATCAAAACATAATTGTTATACTTAAACTTATGCGTGCAGGTCATCAAATTAACGATAGTCAGAGGATATAATTTATTTGAAGATATAAATAAAACTTGCAGGAAACAATCAATGATTTTTAAAAAAATTATTAACAAGATTAAAAACTATTAAGTTAACTAAAATGTTTTGCACACGCATGTCGAGGGTATAGCATGATTGTTGTGCGAACTTTTCCATGTCAAAATAACATAGATAATTTTTTTATGATTAAACAACATTTCTATACCATCGTTGAATAGTTTTTGTTCAATAATTCAATTATATTACTGCTTGAGATTGACATTTTTTTCCGAATTGCTAATTTGGTCTTAGCGCGTGCCGTGAAAAGTACATTATATTTATAGACCATTTACATACTAAGGTCTGTAAATGACCCTATACTTTGTATGGTCTATACCTAGAAGGTCTGTAAATGTATACGATGCACTTGATATTTTATAGGAAGACCATTGCTTGTCTGTAAATTTATTTTATAATTTGTAAAGCACTTCAAACAGCTGTAGTGTGCACTTCAGAGCACTTCACACCGCCGTGATGTGCACTTAACGCACATCACACCGCCGTGATGTGCACTTAAAGCACTTCACACCGCGGTGATGTGCACTTAAAGCACTTCACACCGCCGTAATGTGCACTTAAAGCACTTCACACCGCCGTGATGTGCACTTAAAGCACTTCACACCGCTGTGATGTGCACTTAAAGCACTTCACACCGCCGTGATGTGCACTTAAAGCACTTCACACGGCCGTGATGTGCACTTAAAGCACTTCACACCGCCGTGATGTGCACTTAAAGCACTTCACACCGCCGTGATGTGCACTTCACTTCACACCGCCGTGATTTGCACTTCAGCACTTCACACCGCCGTGATTTGCACTTCAGCACTTCACACCGCCGTGATGTGCACTTCAGCACTTCACACCGCCGTTTGAAGTGCTTTTTGTCACTTCACACCGCCGTGATTTGCACTTCAGCACTAGGCAGGAAGATGTGCACATCAGAGCACTTCACACCGCGGTGATTTGCACTTCAGCACTTCACACCGCCGTGATTTGCACTTCAGCACTTCACACCGCCGTGATTTGCACTTCAGCGCTGGGCAGGAAGATGTGCACATCAAAGCACTTCACACCGCCGTGATGTGCACTTCAGCACACTTCACACCGCCGTTTGAAGTGCTTTTTGTCACTTCACACCGCCGTGATGTGCACTTCAGCACTTCACACGGCCGTTATTTGCACTTCAGCGCTGGGCAGGAAGATGTGCACATTAGACTTGCTGTAGATCATCGTGTGGTTCATGCTCTGTGTGACGTTCTTGAAGAACGTCATCTCCTCTTCACTTGCCATCGGTGCCATCACCACCAACATCTGTTGTTAACGATTTATCATTAAATTAAATTGTTAGAGATTTATCATTAAATTAAATTGTTAGAGATTTATCATTAAATTAAATTGTTAAAGATTTATCATTAAATTAAATTGTTAGAGATTTATCATTAAATTAAATTGTTAGAGATTTATCATTAAATTAAATTGTTAAAGATTTATCATTAAATTAAATTGTTNACTTCAGCGCTGGGCAGGAAGATGTGCACATTAGACTTGCTGTATATCATCGTATGGTTCATGCTCTGCGTGACGTTCTTGAGGAACGTCATCTCCTCTTCACTTGCCATCGGTGCCATCACCACCAACATCTGTTGTTAACGATTTATCATTAAATTAAATTGTTAGAGAGTTAACATTAAATTTATCATTAAATTAAATTGTTAAAGATTTATCATTAACGATTTATCATTAAATTAAATTGTTAAAGATTTATCAATAAAGATTTATCATTAAATTAAATTGTTAAAGATTTATCAATAAATTGAATTGTTAGAGATTTATCATTAAATTAAATCGTTAGAGATTTATCATTGAATTAAATTGTTAGAGATTTATCATTGAATTAAATTGTTAAAGATTTATCATTAAATTAAATTGTTAGAGATTTATTATTAAATTTATAATTAAATTAATAACAATTTTGAATCGAAATGGATTTTTTTTCTTTAATTCTTATTCAAAAACGGATTTGTGCTCTCAACACTTATTCGAAAACGGATTTTTGCTTTCAAATTAAATTGAAAAACGAATTTTAGTTGGTAATTTTCATTCAAACACGAGTTTTATTTGTATTGATCTCAAAATAAACATTAATATTATCAACTACGTGAGTTATTTCTTTAGTTATATATTAATTATTTTTTATTCTCACCCGAATAAGGACATCCTTGACGATGGTGGAGAGAATATCCAGCTCTCCACCGTGCGTGGAGATTGTGAGGAGATCCACCTGAGTGGTGCGGAAGGCGGCCTGGATCATGGTGGTGAGGGGGAGGCACTGCACCATCACTTGGTAGCCCAGCTCTTGGTCCTGGCAAATGTGATAGTGAATGTGATAGTGAATGTGATAGTGAATGTTAGAGTGAATGTGATAGTGAATGTTAGAGTGAATGTGATAGTGAATGTGATGGTACACATCACTATCACATTCACTGTCAGTAAATGTGTGGGGAATGTGATAGTGAATGCGATGGTACACATCACTATCACATTCACTATCAGTAAATGTGTGGGGAATGTGATAGTGAATGTGATAGTACACATCACTATCACATTCACTGTCAGTGAATGTGATAGTGAATGTGATAGTGAATGTGATAGTGAATGTGATAGTGAATGTGATAGTGAATGTGATAGTGAATGTGATAGTGAATGTGATAATGAATGTGATAGTGAATGTGATAGTGAATGTGATAGTGAATGTGATAGTGAATGGGATAGTGAATGTGATGGTGCATTTGATAACAACTGTGATAACGAATGTGATAACGAATGTGATAACGAATATGACAGTGAATGCGATAGTGAGCTGTAGAAAGTATTTGTAGTAGTGAAATTGCAAGATGAACGGGCCTAATAAATGATTGTGAATGTGATGACAAGCTAAACAAAATATTTTGAAATGTGAAATTGCATGATGAACGAGGAAATTATGATGAAGAAATAAATATAGTGTATTCAACAATGAAATGGTTCGATGAAAGAATGAATGTGTAATGAGTGAATACGAGCCATGAAAAGAAGGGTTAATAGTGAAATTGTATTTCAAGCTTGGAAATACATGTGATGAGTGTGAAAGAGCAGTGATGAAAGAAAGATGAGGTTGGTTCATTAGATGCTGAAAATTGGTATCAATGAAAATGAATGTGAACGCTATTAATATTGGGTATAATAAATCGCTATTATACCCAATTATATTTGGGTATAATAGTTATAATAATTATGTGAACGCTATTTATATTGGGTATAAATATTGGGTAATAAATCGAAGAGTGAATCTTGAACGAGATAATGTGTAAAAAATATTAAAACGAAATAAGGATTTTAAATCTTCCTTGTGACTATTAAATAAAAATTACAAATTTACAAATATAATATTATTAATAGCAATAAACCCACCTCCTTAGCAACGTAAGTTAGTAGTCTATTGCTGCCTTCCTGCACCCGGTTCAGCAGCGGCGGTAAGTTGCCGGAATTGTGCCGTAACCATAACGGCATCTGCCACCAAATGATCGTAAAATATCGGTTATTATGTTTACATTTATTTAATTTATGAATTATATTGCTGAAGATGTTTTAACATCAACAATTGTACGATACAAAGGCCGGCAAGAATTGTATGTTAATTACCTGAAAAAAATGTGCAAATGTGTGGTTTTTGAGGCAAAATTTCTTCCCAAGTAAACATGTCTTCGTAGAAGTAAAAGAAATATAGATTACAAATATCTAAAATATATCTGATTAACTGTTGGACAAAAATACATTAATTTACCTTAGCACGGTTACCACCATGACAGGTAATTTACCTAATTACCTCAACGATGGCACTGTAATTAATTTTACAAGTGCACGATAATTACTTTAAAAGGGCATGGTAATTATCTAAAAAGGTGCACGGTACTTATCGTGTCATATGCACGGTAATTACCTTGACCGATACACAGTAGTTAACTTAATAGAGGCATGATGATTACCTCTATAGAGGCACGGTAATTACCCTAACAAGAGCACGGTAATTACACTAACAGAGACACGGTAATTACCTTCATAGGTACGGTAATTAACCCAACAGGAGCACGGTAATCACCCTAACTGGAGCACAGTAATTACCCTAACAGAGACACGGTAATTACCCTAACAGAGACACGGTAATTACCCTAACAGAGGCACGGTAATTACCCTAACAGAGGCACGGTAATTACCCTAACAGGGGCACGTTAATTACCCTAACAGGGGCACGGTAATTACCCTAACAGGAGCACAGTAATTACCCTAACAGAGACACGGTAATTACCCTAACAGAGGCACGGTAATTACCCTAACAGAGGCACGGTAATTACCCTAACAGGGGCACGTTAATTANATTTCCAATCAATACATTTGGTGTTGCATTTGGTCCTTCATGTCTAAAAAAGCACAGAGGGTAACCTCTTGCCCACAACGTGCTTCACTGCCCCATACACATCGACAACTCACTGGAGTAGCTAAGTCGTCTGTCCTTCTACTCTAGTGAGTAGTCGTCGTCTGTAACACATCGTAACACCTGTCTCTTATACACATCTAGATGTGTATAAGAGACAGTCCCTGCACCGAATAATGAATGAATCAGTGAATAATACGCATGTGCAAATGAATGAATGTAAAGAATACAAAGAATGGTCCAATAATATTATAATAAAATAATATCAAGCAAGTATGAACTTAGTTGCATAGGTATTATTGTATAATATATAATATAATTATATAATATATAATGACTGAATATATTTAGGCTTTATATTCAGTCAGGATATGTAATGAAACTAAATAGGGATGCCTATAATATCATTGATATAAATAATACAGCTTAATAATAATAATAATTATTATTATTATTCGATCACAATTATCGTGATCGCTGATACGAATACAATTTATTCCTTCTATTGTGAATTTTTCATATGGTTAAAATGTGCTTTGAATTTAAATATTATAGCATAATACATTTTGGGCTTTGATCACCTGGGGTTGGGCTCACCTGGGGTTGTGCTCACCTGGGGTTGTGCTCACCTGGGGTTTTGTTCACCTGGGGTTGTGCTCACCAGGGGTGGGGCTCACCAGGGGTTGGGCTCACCTGGGGTTGGGTTCAATAAGCAGCCCCTCGAAGCCCCGGCGGTCGAGGTGTGCTGTGAAGGACATAAATTCCCCATCCTGAGCCCCGACCTCCACGAACCGCCCCGCCATCTGGGCACAAGCACTCACAAAATTTAATGGATCATAGTGTCCAAATTGTGACCCACTTTCTTCCCACAGCTTGAGCAATGAGCGGGCGTAGCGCTGATACGTCATGGTGCATGGGCCGATACGATGATGACCCATATACGAGGGCAACAAGTGAATTGCTATCTGGACAATACTTACTCATTTCTTTTGAGTGAGTATTCAATCTATTGCTTATTTTAAATCACAACACATCATAACACATCATAACACACGTCGTAGTACTTCTTAACACATTGTAGCACATTGCAATGCATCGTAATGCATCGTAACACATAGTCTCATAGATCACAACACATCATAACACATCATAACACACGTCGTAGTACTTCTTTACACATTGTAACACATTGCAATACATCGTAATACATTGTAACACATCGTAACACATAGTAACATACATCGTAACACCTGTCTCTTATACACATCTAGATGTGTATAAGAGACAGGCCGTGATGTGCACTTAAAGCACTTCACACCGCCGTGATGTGCACTTAAAGCACTTCACACCGCCGTGATGTGCACTTAAAGCACTNTGACCCATTTTCTTCATACAACGTGAGCGGTGAGCAGGCGTAGCACTGATACGTCATGGTGCAGGGCCAATACGAGGATGACCCATACGATGGCAAAAAGTGAATCGCTATCTGGACAATACTTACTCATTTCTTTTGAGTGAGTATTCAATCTATTGCCTATTTTAGATCACAACACATCATAACACACGTCGTAGTACTTCTTAACACATTGTAACACATTGCAATACATCGTAATACATTGTAACACATCGTAACACATAGTAACATACATCGTAACACATCGTAACACATTGTAATGCATCGTAACACATCGTAACACATCGTAACACATTGTAATACATCGTAACACATTGTGACACATCGTAATACATCGTAACACATCGTACCACATCGTAACACATTGTAATACATCGTAACACATTGTGACACATCGTAACACATAGTAACATACATCGTAACACATCGTAACACATCGTAACACATCGTAACACATTGTGACACATCGTAATACATCGACACACATCGTAGCACATCGTAAAACATCATAACACGACGGGAACACATCTCAACAAATCGTAACACATTGTAACACTATGCTCTTATGATGAGTTTAGAACTTTTCAGTCCACGGTCACGCTGATGCTCCGCCTTCGTCGTCCTCCGTCTCCGAGTCGTCGCTAGACAGGTCACCCCGCCCTCGGATCCCGGATGTAACGTGGGACGTGTTCCGTCTATTTGCCCTCCTTTGGGCCAGCTGATGCAAGATGCTGTTGCTTGTCACTTGCTGAGGGTAGTTTCCCATAACTGGACATAACTGGACAATCCGGGATCTTCTTCAGAAACTTATCCAGTTGTCACCTGCAAGTCGCAAGAGTAAAATCCCGGTCCTACCACGGACAGTGATCCCTCACGAAGAGTCTGTACTCTGGTTGTGACACGGTCTCTGCACAGTCTCTCCCTCATTTCGTTGTACTACATCACAATATTGGAAGTCTTACATTCAAAGTTGGGAGTCAGTCCGGTTATCATCTTCCAACTGTTCAGTATGATATATTTCTCTCTTCTTCTCTCCAGTGAGTACAGTTCCAGGTGTTTCAACCTTTCCCAGTAAGTCGCAAGAGTAAAATCCCGGTCCTACCACGGACAGTGATCCCTCACGAAGAGTCTGTACTCTGGTTTTGACACGGTTATCGAACGGGGGGATCCTGCACAGTCTCTCCCTCATTTCGTTGTACTACATCACAATATTGGAAGTCTTACATTCAAAGTTGGGAGTCAGTCCGGTTATCATCTTCCAACTGTTCAGTATGATATATTTCTCTCTTCTTCTCTCCAGTGAGTACAGTTCCAGGTGTTTCAACCTTTCCCAGTAAGTCGCAAGAGTAAAATCCCGGTCCTACCACGGACAGTGATCCCTCACGAAGAGTCTGTACTCTGGTTTTGACACGGTTATCGAACGGGGGGATCCTGCACAGTCTCTCCCTCATTTCGTTGTACTACATCACAATATTGGAAGTCTTACATTCAAAGTTGGGAGTCAGTCCGGTTATCATCTTCCAACTGTTCAGTATGATATATTTCTCTCTTCTTCTCTCCAGTGAGTACAGTTCCAGGTGTTTCAACCTTTCCCAGTAAGTCGCAAGAGTAAAATCCCGGTCCTACCACGGACAGTGATCCCTCACGAAGAGTCTGTACTCTGGTTTTGACACGGTTATCGAACGGGGGGATCCTGCACAGTCTCTCCCTCATTTCGTTGTACTACATCACAATATTGGAAGTCTTACATTCAAAGTTGGGAGTCAGTCCGGTTATCATCTTCCAACTGTTCAGTATGATATATTTCTCTCTTCTTCTCTCCAGTGAGTACAGTTCCAGGTGTTTCAACCTTTCCCAGTAAGTCGCAAGAGTAAAATCCCGGTCCTACCACGGACAGTGATCCCTCACGAAGAGTCTGTACTCTGGTTTTGACACGGTTATCGAACGGGGGGATCCTGCACAGTCTCTCCCTCATTTCGTTGTACTACATCACAATATTGGAAGTCTTACATTCAAAGTTGGGAGTCAGTCCGGTTATCATCTTCCAACTGTTCAGTATGATATATTTCTCTCTTCTTCTCTCCAGTGAGTACAGTTCCAGGTGTTTCAACCTTTCCCAGTAAGTCGCAAGAGTAAAATCCCGGTCCTACCACGGACAGTGATCCCTCACGAAGAGTCTGTACTCTGGTTTTGACACGGTTATCGAACGGGGGGATCCTGCACAGTCTCTCCCTCATTTCGTTGTACTACATCACAATATTGGAAGTCTTACATTCAAAGTTGGGAGTCAGTCCGGTTATCATCTTCCAACTGTTCAGTATGATATATTTCTCTCTTCTTCTCTCCAGTGAGTACAGTTCCAGGTGTTTCAACCTTTCCCAGTAAGTCGCAAGAGTAAAATCCCGGTCCTACCACGGACAGTGATCCCTCACGAAGAGTCTGTACTCTGGTTTTNAGTCCCCACCACTCCCAGTCCCCACCACTTCCAGCCCCCACCACTTCCAGTCCCCACAACTCCCAGTCCCCACCACTACCCAGACTTGACCACCTTATGGCCTTATGACTTATGACAACTTCAAGGCGTCGTCGTCCGCGTCACGCTGATGCGCCACCTTCGTCGTTCTCCGTCTCCAAACCGCCAATAGTCAGGTTGCCCCGCCCTCTGGACCCGTCGGTAACATTGAACATGTTCCGTTCATCAGCTCTCATTTGAAGCAGACGATGTAAAATTCTGTTACTTGTCATTTGCTGAGGGTTGTAGCTCATAACCGGACAATCCGGGATCTTGCTCAAAAACGCATACATTCGTCTCTTCCCTAACAAAATTCGGGGTATGCTTCAGCCTCTGCACCAGAGTTGCTATGTTCGCGTTAGAGATTTACGTTCGGTCCGAGTCCTAGGCGGTTCCTAATTCAGGCTCACCACCAGCTAAAAATTTTGATAGGGTACGTTGAATGTCGCAAGGATTACTCCCCTCTTCTCATCTACTTAGGCGGCGCAAGAGGCGACAAGAGATTATCGCAATCTAAATGATCTGAGAATAGATGGCGTTAATGTACAAGGTAACTGCAGAGTGGGTAACTGAGAGGGGTAACTGAGGGTAACTTAATGTGTGTAACTGAGAGAACAACGTTGGCCGAGGCAGTGAAGGAATTCTGCGAAGACATTGGTGGGATAAATGACTTGTTTGCGCCAGATGAAAAACTTTGTTTCATTAGAACGCAAAAATCTGAATGGCATTGATGAGGAAATTACAAATGAGNGCGAGGGAGGGTGAAGGGAAAGGTAAGGGGAATCTTTGAGGGGTATTAAGGAAAGTTGGGAGGGAATTTAATGGGAAGACTTTGGGGGAGATGACTTAGGGAGAGGGGTACTAAAGGCGGGATTTTTTATTGGGTATTTAAGGTGGTGATCCATCTTTCTGCTTCAGCGTTTTGGCATTATTTCTATAAAATTTGGATTACCTTTTAATTTATAACGCTAAAAACATTTAATACTGTAAAAAATTTTAAATAAAATACATAATAGAATTTTCGTCAATGCAATAAGACAATTAAATAAGTTAATTAAGATAATCTTACATGATTATAAATAATTATATAGCCCATGCCTTATTTTAGCCCTTCATATTCACAGCGCTAGAGAGGGAAAGAAAGGGATACTCTAGAAAGGGACACTCGCGCGTGTCGCTCATTGAGCAATTCGAATTAATTTATAATATACATTTATTATATCAGATATAATAAAATGAATTACGGTAAATTCAAATGTAAATCATGTACTGATGCGAAATGAAAAATGCGATAAGGATTATCAGCGTTATATTTCGCATCTAGTTTCGAAAGCGAGGTGAATGCATTTCATGCATAAGATGTGATAGTGAATGCACTTCATGAAATTGATGTGATGGTGAATGAACATCATATTGTAGGTGTGATAGTGAATGCACTTCATGTATAAGGTGTGATTGTGTATGCACTTCATGCTATAGGTGTGATAGTGAATGTACTTCATGCTATAGGTGTAATAGTAAATGTACTTCATCCATAAGGTGTGATAGTGAATGCACTTCATGCTATAGGTGTGATAGTGAATGCACTTCATGCTATAGGTGTGATAGTGAATGCACTTCATCCATAAGGTGTGATAGTGAATGCACTTCATCCATAAGGTGTGATAGTGAATGCACTTCATGCAGAGATGCGACTCACCTTCGAAATTTTCCTCATGTTTCTGATGGGGCTCACTGTTTAATATAATTTCACTATTTAAAAACCAAATGACCAATTAAAAAATTGCTTTACCTAATGAAACTTTTTGTATAAGTAAAAAGTGTTCGTTTTTTTTATCTGTGAATTGAGATTCCTGATTATCATTGTACTTGTTTCATTGTGCTTTTTAATTCAATTAATATTAATTAATGGAAGTTATCTGATTAAGTATTGCACGAAACTAACTTGTCCATTTATACGACCTAACATTGATCCACACCAGGGTTGCCAGATGGCCTAAAAAACGGCACAGTCCGAGAAC